CACTGAGCCACACCCCAGCCCCTCACTGGGGGATTCTAGGCAGGGCTCTGCTGCTGATCTACACCCCTCTTTTTTTTTTTTTTTTTTGAGACAAGGTCTCACTATGTGTTCCTAGCTATCCTAGAACTTGCTTTGAAGACTAGGCTGCTCTTAAAGTCAGATATACCTGCTTCTGCCTCTCAGATGTTGGGGTTAAAGGTATATGCCACCATGCCCAGGCCCTAGTCCTCTTATATTTTTTTTAGGTTGAGATGGGGTGTCAGTAAATTTCCCAGGATGTCCTTGAATTCTAGATAATCCTCCTGCCTCAGTTTCTTGAGTATTAGGATTACAGGACTGTTCCCACGTCTAACTGACCCCACTCAATTCTGGAAGTTGACTGTGGGAGGGGATATTAACCCTTTCAGGAATGGGTGTGGGGTGGGAACACAGCTTGACATGTAGTCTTCCTCCCCAGACTCCACGGGCAAGTACTGGACAGTGGGCAGTGATTCCTCGGTCACCAGCAGCAGCGATACCCCTGTGGATTTCTTCCTTGAATTCTGTGATTACAATAAGGTGGCCATCAAGGTGGGTGGCCGCTACCTGAAGGGGGACCACGCTGGGGTCCTGAAGGCCTGTGCGGAGACCATCGACCCCGCCTCACTCTGGGAGTACTAGGGCCACCTGCCCTCTGCGGGCCACTCATCCAGTCCCTCCTGCTATCCTAACTCGCCACGTGGCCCTGCAGCAGGTGGCAAGCCCCTTGCCTTTCAAACTGGAAACCCAAGAGAAAACGGTGCCCTTGCCTGTTTGCCCTCTGTGGACCCCTTACCCCTAACTCTCTGCTCCCCATGGGTCAGCGGCTGCAGACTGTCCCTGGGAGGGACTTTGGGTCCCTTCTTTGCCATGGGGCATGCTGGCACCTATCTTCTGACCTCAGACAACTCTGAGCCTTATTTCCCCAGGAAGTGGCCTAGGAGAAGGGGGGCGGGTGTGAGGGAATTACCCCGCCCCTGAGCTTGTAACTGGAATCCCTCCCCCTGGAGATCACACCTCTTTGACTATCTGGCCCCAGCACCTGGAGGCAAGCCTTTTGGTGGGACTGAAGCCAGGTGCAGCCTGGTTTGCCCACAAGTTTTTGGTTTTTGTTTTTTTCCTGTATCATGGCTGGAGAGTGGTCTTTGGGTGGCACTGCCAGGTCGCCCCTGCACATTCTGGGGTTGGGGGATGGGCCTTGCCCCCATCTCTTTCCTTTTTACCCTGGCCTGACTGGAAGCAGAAAAATGACCAAATCAGTATTTTTTTTGTTTTTAGAGGAAATGTTACTGTTGAAAGGGCCCCTGGGCAAAACTTGCCTGGCTGGTTGTAGCTGTGAGTGGTCTTGGGGGAAGACACTGACACCTGGCCTCCCCAGTGGGCTCCCTTCCTTCCTCCCTACCTCCCTCCCTGCCTGCCCACCTCCAGCCCTGGCCCTGTGATTGGTGCTCCATGTCTTCCTGACACCTCGGGGCTCCTGGGGTGGGAGAAAGCCAGGTGTGTCCCTCCTGGGAACCCTGGAGTAAACCTCAGGGGGGCCCTTCCCAGACACCCCATTCTACCAATTCCCCAACACCGTGCATCTCATTCACTCGGGGTGTCTCGGTCTTTTATTTTTTTGTAACTGTCATTTGTATAACTCTGAAGACCCATGATAGTAGCTTTGAACTGGAAAATAAAATAACACCATGTCTGCAGCCTGTGTATGTCTCACAGAGGAAGTGGATGGGGCCCAGGGAAGGACCAACCTGGATATTTAAAAGTGTAGGCTGCAGGGTGGTGGTGGTGGTAGTGGTGCTGGTGCTGGTGCTGGTGCTGGTGCTGGTGGATGCCTTTAATCCCAGCACTCTCGAGGCAGAGACAGGCAAATCTCTGTGAGTTCAAGGTCAGCCTGGTCTACTGGTCACGTTCCAGAACAGTCTCCAAAACTACAGAGAAACTGGGTTTCCAAAAACAACAATAAAAAGTTCAAGCCAAGGGCAGACAAGAGGTTTCAGCAGGTAAAGTTGCTTGCTGCCAAGCCTGATAACCCAACACCCATGTGAGGAAATCTGGTGCAGTGGTGTACACCTCCTCCAGGGTTTGGAGGAAGGGTAGAGACAGGAGGATCCCTGGAGCTTGGAGGCTGCCCAGCCTTGCCTAATCTGTGAGCTCTGGGTTCAGTGAGAGGCCCTGTCTCAGTAAGGTGAGGGTGGGTTGAAGAAGACACCCCAAATAGACTTCTGGCCTCCACACCGAGACAACACACACACACACACACACACACACACACACACACACACAAGCCAGGCCTGTGATCCCAGCTACTCAGGAGAGGAGGTTGAGGTAGGAGGATCATAGATTCAAGGCTGCCAAGGTTGCGGAGTGGGTTCAAGGCTAGCCTTTGGGCACCTTGAGGGGCAGGCTGGATGTAGTTCGTGGGCAGCATAACTGAGGCTCTAGATTCAATTCCAATAAGTTTGACCACAAAATGTGTTGGTCAAACCAGGCATGGTGGTGCAAGCCTTTAATCCCAGCATTTAAGAGTCAGAAGCAGGCAGATATTTGAGTTTGAGAACAGTCTGGTCTACAAAGCAAGTTCCAGGACAGCCAGACCTGTCTCGAAAAGCCATGAAGGAAGGAAGGGAAGAAAGAAAGTCAAGAAGAAAGAAAGTTAAGAGACAAGCCAGTAGGCTGCCTTCATCTTTGGAGGGCAGGCTAGTGTCTTAGTGTGCCAGAGGGTCTGCGGGTTGAAACCTACAGGATTCTAGTGGCTTGTCTATGCGAATCCTCCCGACAGTCAGGTACTTTGTTGGGACTTTTGGAACATCCCAGAGTCCCATTTATGCAGGGGGACACTAGGGCGTAAGGAAGAAAAAAAAAAAAAAAAAAAAAAGCCAACATTTTTTGCTGTTGCTGGAGAGTGCTGAGTAGCTCCAAGCCCCAGCAGCTGGAGGCTCTCTGCAGAGGCGGTTGGAGAGCCACACTGATTGGCTGCTGATGACGAAATGGAGAGGCTGCGCTGTGATTGGCGGTTCCCGAGGGAAGGCGTGCGGGAGATTGACTGGGGCAGATGGCCACAAAGGGTCCATTGGCCCCCGCAGGGTGGAAGCTCGGCCCCAAGCCAGGAAAGTGTCAGTGACACGAGAGACAGATGAATCCTGTAGAGTCAAGCTCTCAGCCTTTGGTGGGGGCCTCGTTGAGGGAAAGGAACATCCTGTCGATCATCACCACCAAGTACAGCCAAGCACTGCGTGGCCACCTGATGACTGTGGAAGTCCCACACGTGATCGTGGGGCGGGTCCGATGGAGGAGGCAGGGGCTGAGTTTAATGGTAAAGGCTCCCGGAGTCTGTTGCAGGCAGCCCAGGGTCTAAGGGAGGAGGCACAGATCTGACGGGGGCTGGTACAGGGTCTGATCCAGAAAAAGGGACGGAAGAGCTCCTGGTCAGGGGACTCTCCTAAGCACAGGCCCTGAACAGAGGAAGCTGTCAGAGAATGGCTGGGCTAGTGAGGACAAGTTTCAGGGGCCCAGGCAACTTGTGGAGGTAACAGGCATCTTGGAGGGAAGTGGGGGCACCCATGAGCCTGCCCACACCATAGATATGTCCGAGCACATTTGTACATAGAGCAGCTCTCATAGCCAGCTGTAGCTGGGTACCAATGTGTCCCTGTACTCCATCCCTTCATTTCTTCCAGCTGAGTCAGGGACCCCACAGCTCCAGATGGATCCCCTATAAATCTATTTTTGTGTGTGAGTGCAGGAATCTCACTCCCGTTGCACAGATAGGAAACTGAGGCAGAGTCTCGGGGAAGCTTACAGCACAGGGTAGTGAATGAGTTTTCTCTCTCTAGGTAAAAAAAAAAAAATTATTTGTACAACTGTCCTGCCTGCCTGTATGTATGCGCACCACTATGAATACCTGATGCTTGTGGAGATGAGAAGGTGTTGGGTCCGTTGAAGCTGGAGTTATGAATGGTTGTGAGTCACCACGTGGGTGCTGGTCTTCTGCAAGAGCAAGCACGCTTAACCATGGAGCCATCTTCAGTCTCCCCCACCATCATTACTTTTTTTTTTTTTTTTTTTTTTGAGACAAGGTCTCATGTAGCTCAGGCTGTAGTCAAAAGTGACCTTAAATGTTGGGGAATATTAGTTTAAGCTGTGTTGCATTTGTTTAACCATGTAAAGATGTGTGACTTTTGTTTATGCTTCATTTGTTTAACTCTGTGAAGCTGTGTTACTTTGCCTGTCTAAAACACCTGTTGCTCTAATAAAGAGCTGAACACCCAATATCAAGACAGGAGCAAGGATGGGGGGTGGAGACTGGCATTTGGAGAGAATAAATAGGAGAAATTTGGAAGCAAGGAGCCAGGAAAGAACAAGGAGAGGAGGACGTCATGGGTTGGCCACCAGGCCACCCGGCCGCCCAGCCAGCCACAGAATTAGAAGAAAAGAAAAGAAATAGAGAAAGGTAAAGCCCAGAGGCCAAAAGTAGTTGGGATAAGTTAAGAAAAACTGGCAAGAAACAAGCCAAGCTAAGGTCGAGCATTTATAAAGTAAGAATAAGCCATGTGTATTTATTGGTAGTTGGGTGGTGGGCCCCCCAAAAGAGCCCAAGGGTAAAAAAACAACCAGCAACACTTAACTTTCTGTCTCTTGCCTCTAGCTCCTGAGCGTTGGGTGATTACAGGTGTGTTGGCTTTGGACCCATAGTTTCATATATGCTAGGCAAGCACGCTATCAAGTGAGCCTCATCCCTCTTTGTTTTCTTTTTGGACAGGGTCTTGCTATGTAGCCCAGGCTGGCTTCTCAAACTCATGGCAACCTTCCTGTTTTAGCTTCCCAAGTGCTGGGATTACAGGCTTGAGCCATTGTAGGAAAGAAGAATGGAGAAGCTATTCTGGCCCTCATGGGTTCCTCCAGTTCTGTCAGAGTTCAGGAAGCTTGGCAGGTGGGTGAGAGTCCCCTCTGGGGTTTGTCAGTGCAGACTCCAGCTTCAGCACCCCCAGTTCTATCCTGCAGGTCTAGCCTTCAGGAAGCCTAATGAGATGGGACACAGTCTAGTGCTGTGATCCCCATCAGATCTCTCTGATGGGGAGCTGATGAAGGCCCCTAGGAATTTCCCAACCAAGTCCACATTAGACACCCTGTCCAAGGCCTGCTTCTAATCCCTGTGGGGACCTACGGGAGTGACATCTGAGTCCCCACAGGGCCCCCATTTTCTCCAGAGCTGAGTGGCCTCTCCTACTGGAGAGACAAGATCTGACCTTGTTAAAGTGTTGAATGGAAGGAGCTGAGGAAATAGTCCAGTTGGTAAAATGCTTGCCTTGTGTCTTAGTTAGGGTTTCTGGTGCTGTGAGTGGACACCATGACCACAGCAACTCTTAGAAACATTTAATTGGGGCTGGCTTACAGTTCAGAGGTTTAGTCTATTATCATGGCTGAAAACAGGGCAGCATTCATCAAGGCTGACAGTAGTGGGGAAGGAGCTGAGAGTTCTTACATTTTGATCCTCAGGCAACAAGAAGTAAACTGAGTCATTGGGCATAGCTTGAGCAAAGGAGACCTCAAATCTCACCCCCAAAATGACACACTTCTTCTAACATGGCCACACCCACTCTGACAATGCCACACCTCCTAATAGTGCCATTCCCTTTGGGGGCCATTTTCTTTCAAACCACCACACCTTGCAAGCATTTGGACCTGAGTTTGATCCCCGGAGCTGGGGAGGTAAGAACAGGCTGGGCTCACTGGTCCTGCAGCCCAGCTGAATTGGCAATCTCAGAAACCAAGATGGATGGCTCTTGAGGAACAACACCGGACGCTGACTCCTAGCATCCATAAATATGTGCACACATGTGTCTGCACATATGCATGTAAAACCCTAATCCACTTGGTAATGTGTGCCCGTAATCCTAGTACATGGGAGACAGGTGGAGGATCACCTTCTGGTTGAGGCCTACCTGGTCTACATATCCAGTTACTAAGTGAGACTCTGTCTCCAACTCGAGGGGTGGCTCTCCCCTCTAATCCCAATACTCAAGAAGCCCAAACTGGAAGGTTACCTAGAGTTCAGTGCCAGCCTGGGCTACAAACTGAGTTCCAGGCTGAAGGAGATTAAGACTATCTCAAAACCAATCAACCAAAAGAGCCTACTGGATTTCCTTCAGAAGATAACTTGCGTTGGGCTGTGGTGGCACACGCCTTTAATCCCAACACTCAGGAGGCAGAGGCAGGCAGATCTCTGAGTTCAAGGCCAGCCTGGTCTACAGAGTGAGTTCCAGGGCAGCCAGGGCTGTTACACAGAGAAACCCTGTCTCAAAAGAAAAAGAAAACTTAGTGCACAGGCACTGTGTGTGTGTGTGTGTATGCATATGCCCGTGCCCTTACTGTTTACAGTAAATGAGTCTGGGAGGCATCCAAGAGCATCCTGTTTTTTCTGTGTTGAGCAATGGATAAAGAGTTCCTGACCTCTCTGGGTTGTCGCACACTTGTCTAGATGGGGAGATAAGGGATTCTGGGTCGGTCCCTTGAGGTTGATAATAGCAGAAGGGACAGATGGGGTCTCCCAGGGAGAGAGATGCCTGAGAGGGAAGTGGCGGGTGGGCTTTAAGTTTGCCATGAAACCCGAGCCTCTTCCTGGGCCTCTGGCTTAAAGCCTCACATGGCAAAGTCATCCCCACTGGGAGTTGGGGGGAGTGGTCAGCATTCCTCTCCATTTCC